CAGAATAAATACAAGCTTCCAAATAATGATGAAAATAATCTTTTTGAGCATTTTATATGTCATATATTATGATTAGAACTTTATATTTATAATTACTTCATTTAATCCTTCTAACAATTCTATAAAGCAGATGATATTATCCTAATTTTACATATGACATAAATGAAGGGTAGGAAAGTTATACAATTTGGCCAAGATCACAATGCAAGTGAGTAGTAGAGGTGGGATTTAACCCTAAGGCTTACTCCAAAGACCATGTGCTTAAATTATTATATACTATGAGTAGAAACTCAACTCTGAGGTTAGCAACCAGGGAAGTCCAACATGGCATGGGATGTGTCCCAGTAGTTGAAAAGAACATCGTCACAAATAACAAGGTAAATGCAAGAGTCAGTACTGCAAGTACACTGGAGCGCTGGGAACTCTACCACCGGCAACTAACCCCATTTGCCAGACACGCTCAGTGACGGGACTCTAATTCTTATGAACAGGACTAATGAAAGAAAATATGAAAACTGAAAATTAGGCAAATGCCTGAGGCAAAAACATAAGCATGGGCAATTAGATAGAGAATTTTTCTACTACAATTGGAGTAAAACTGATCGGACTAGGTTTTCATAATATAGCAAAAGTCTAGCTTTAGAACCAGACTACAAGGCTGAAGTCAGACCAGCAGCAAAAGTGACGATGCTGATTATGAGAATGTGATGTTCAATCTCTCTTAATCTATTCTAAGTGTTGGATTTGTTCTAGAGACTGATACTAAAGTCTGCAGAAAGCCAAACATCTCCAGCTCTCCAGCCATGAAACAGAGGAGGGAGAGAGAGGGTAGGACTCAAATGTGACAAAAAAAGGAGGCTCATCCCAGAGACAAATCAGCCTTGCTGAACGTTTTCCCTTTGAGAGCAGCGTCCCTATATCGAACCCTTTCAAAGAGCTTCCCTTCTTTTTCTTCCAAAACTACACACTTTTTAAGGTCCTAATTACTGTGTTGTCTTTATTTCCCTTCTCAAATGCTTATCATATCAGTAGCACTGGAGTGCAAAGTAGGGTTTGTCATTTTTATGTATGGGTCATTTGTAAGTTGGGATTTATCTGGAAATGTACAAGAGCCAAAGTCGATCCATAAGACAAAGGAAATAAGAGTGAAAGGAGGGTAGTATGTCCATGTGAAAGAGAAAAGTCTCACTGAAGACAGAATCCATACTAAGATACATGGATTTTATGAAGATGAGCTTGTCACAAGCTTATACTTCATCAGCCTGCAAGAGAACAACCTAAATTTGAAGAGACAGCTATACATCAGTACTTGGTTATTCCAAAATCCTGCTACTATCCAGATGTCAGATCCTATTAGCTCACATATGACCACCATTTCGAGAGAGATGCCAAGAACAAGGTCTCTGGGATGTCAGCACAATTTCAAATTATGTCATTTGAACATATCCTGTTGGTCTTTACAAGCCCTTTGTTTACTGTGGGTCTTGGTCTAAATAAAGATTTTTAAAACATTTTGAATTTTAACAGGATTTTTAGCAGTCATATTTACATTTTGTATAAGAGATCAGCACTACGACTTAGCTCTTCTCTCCAAAGGGCACATAAGACAATGAGAGATGCAGGAAATTTGAGGTCTTTTTTCTAGATTTACATCTAAATAATTAAGGGAATTTTATCTTTGCAGTATATCCTTCCTGTTTTCTTTGCCCCATTCTCCTTATGAAGCAACTCATTTCCTCCTGTTGCCTCTAACTACAAGTGTTCTTCCTTCCTATTGCCTTTCTCAGTGCAGCACTGGTTGCTACAGACATCTGCTGTCCTGTCTTCCTTCTGATCCACATAGAATTCATTCTCTAAAAGTTCTAGCTTAAGTCACTGGTTACTCTGATGTAATAAAATATTTGAGGTAAGGTGCTAATTACCAATGTTGCTTAAGGATTATCTCCTTACATGTATCATTAATGTTTGTTTATATATGTATGTATATATATATTTATATTCATGTATTTAATTACATCTATTGAACACTTATTATATGTTATGTGCTGCGGTAGCAGTTTTACATATGTTAGCTCATATTTTGCGTCTCCAATGCCTTCTTTGCCTTTGACCCTGGGGTACATATGGTCATTCCTTATTTCGTGGATACCTTCTCAAAAAAGTATGAAAATAACTGCTCATATAATTTGCCTGGATACTATGATTAAAAGACTTAATACATTAAAACACAGAGACATGTATATTCTAATGATGAACCAAAAATATACAAAAAAATTTTTGGATACTTCTTGGTTGATGACTGACCCTAGTGAGTTATATAGCTCATGTTGCTGGTCAGCTTACTGTTTTCTTTCTTTAGGACAAGAAGTTATTAATGCTGGATTTTCATGCAACTTGACAAGGCCATCAGGAAAGATATTTTTGGTCAAAGAGCACTTTACTGGATTAAATTATAACATGTAGCTAGCTTTCTGCTCTGTCATTGAGAAAGGTCAGTCCTAGTTAAGTATGTGGTGAAGTCAAAGCTGAGTCCATGCTAAATTCATCTATAGATCATCTTTCTGAAAACTGCGGCCTTTTTTCCATGGCTGCAAAGTATATAACATGGAGTTAGACTCAGGCAGAGAAGCAGCCGTTTCTTAGAGTGTAGGTCCAGTAAAAAACACTGGCTTTTAAAATAAGGAAGAAAGTAGGAGTGTGCAAATTAAATAAAGATAAGTTGTTAAAGGTTAACCAGTTTCTCCTAGTGGTGTTATAAGCAAATGGCATAGTCATCCTCTGATTCTACAATATTTAGATGTTTTATTTCAGTCACATAGTGGGAGCTGAGAACAAATGTGGGTAAACCAGATACAAAATACCTTCACAGAACATAAGCTAAAACCTTTTCCCTTAATCCTTCAGTGTTGAATCATATGTTATGTCTGGACCATAAACGTGAAGAATGCCAAAGTAGCTCTGGTGTCAGCATGGTTTGGTACACACACATACACACACACAAAGCATAACCATCCTGAAGATATATTATCATCATTGCTCTGGTTTGTTTCCTATTGCTACATAATAAATTACCAAAACTTTAGGGGTTTAAATGTCTATATATTATTTCCCAATTTCTGTGAAATAGCAGTCTTAGCACAGGATAACTGGGTTCTCTGCTTGGGGCTTCATTAGGCTGAAATCAAGATTTTGGGTAGGCTGCATTCTCATCTAGAGCTCAGGATTCTCTTCTGAGGGTATTGAGGCTGCTGAAAGAATTTACTTCCTTGCATTTATAAAAGTGAGGTCCCTGTTTTCTCATGGGCTGTCAGAGGAGTTTACTATCAGCTCTTAGAGGCTGCCCTCAGGCCCTAACCACATGGCCCTCTTTCTTACTTCTTCAAAGCCAGCAGATTTATTCATTCATTCTCTCTCTCTCTCTTTCTCTCTCTCTGTCTCCTCTCTCGCTCCAGTATGCTATGATGCAGTCTTAGGTATTATTAATACTATGTAATCACAAGAGTGACCATATCATTACATTTGCTATATAACATAGCCTAAGCAAGGAAATGACTATCACATTCTATTTATAGGTCCCACCCACACTTAAGGGGAGGGGATTATAGAGTACATGTAGAAGCAGAATCTGGGAGGCCATCTTAAAACTCTGTTTATAACATCTTTGTTATTCAGAACAAAGCCTGAACTCCAAAATGTATAACCAAGGAGAAAGAAAAATGTTCCTCACCTTTGGAATTTAGAAGTTAAATCTATAAAAATCTACCACAATTCCCAGAGGAAGACAGACAGCCAGGTCTCAATCTCAATGTAACCTTTGAACTATGCCTAGTAGAAATGCAAATTCTTATAGAAACAAATAATAGGGCTGACAAAGATTTATGAATAGCTATCTAAAAGAAACCTATACTCCAGTTTTAGCAACCCCAAACCCTAACTTCCCATGAAGCCATCCGCTTTTACCCCATACTCTTTCTTCTTAGTTATTATATCCAACAACTAGCTACAAGGCGTTGTGGCAACACTGCATTCTCTATAGATAGAATAAAACTCAATACTCAAATCATCTCTGACATTGTCTGCAGTAGGAATAGAATAACCAGATTACCAAATTTTGATTCTGGAGTACAAACCCTGTATAATCCAATTCCCTTTGAATGTGTGTAGACCTATAAATATGATGGGATATTCTCTCCTTTGCTTAGGTTCACTATATGGCAAAGTGATGGGACAGTCATTTTGTTATATAAGACTCTGTTTCAGCAGGCTGGGAAGATTGTCCTGGTAGCTTGAAGAAGTGAGCACCCATGTTGTAAGAGGGCCATATGGCTGGGCCTTAAGGCAACTATTACGAGCTAAGAGTGACCCCAGGCTGGTACCTAACCTGATCATGGGGACCTCAGGTCTACAACTGCAAGAAACTGAATCCATTCAACAATCTGAAGAGAAGGACCCTGAGCCTCAGAGATCATATCCCAGGTGACACCTTGATTTTAGCCAGGTAAGCCCTTCAGCAGAAGACCCATCTAACCCATGACTAGAAACCTGATCAATGGAAACTATATAATAAGGAATTTGTACTGCTTTAAGTTGCTCACTTTTATAAGAGTAAGCTTTTATGAAGCACAAAAAACATACACACAAATTAATAAATATGTAAACGAACTAAACAAACTGGCAAAATTAGTTTTAGGGAATTTCTGTGGCAATACACTGCTCAATAACTGAATCTTCATTTGTCTTACTCGGTAGCTACAATATTCTCAAGCTTTTAAAATGTATTCAAAACTAAAATATACCTAAAATTGAGCACATATTTTTATGGTACTCCAGAGCACTGCAGATAACAAACCAAAACTAAAACTCCTTAAGTGATAAAAGAATGCCAGACCAGTAGGGATTTAACCATATAACTCCAACAAGGATGAAGAAAAATCTTAGTAAGTAATAATGATACATGTTACTTGTATACATATATGTGCATAGAAACGAAGGGAACTTACTCTGAAAGTTGTTCACCGAGAAGACTCGAGGATGATAGAATCCTGCTTTGCAAATGCACTGATAGGCTCCCAGTACGAATCCTAGGCCTTTGATTGGCATACACTGGGTAAAAGAAAAGACACCAACATGGTTCATCATAGCTTATTTCACAGTATGAAGACTCACAGATATCACTGCAAATGGTAACAGAAATAACACACTTTCCAGAAATAAAATATCTCTTTTTTGAACCTTTATTTTAGGTTTGTTTGCCAACAGACATTTTTTTTAGAAGTAGCAAATTAAGTTTCCTTTCTAAATATATGCCATTACAGCTGCAGTTGCCACACATCTTTAACTCACTCAGTTGCCACAGTGAGTAATTACTAGACACAGTTCTTGTTTTAATGCCTCACATTTCAACTTACTGCTTTAAAAAATATTTCCAGGCCTATAAAAATATTTTTAAAGTGCTTCCATAATAAATATTTCTATCAAAGCAAAGGTAGGTAGATAAGGAGATAAACAGACACATCAAATTTAACATGTGAAAATTGCTTTTATGAATTAAATAGTCATAAATTTCACCCTTAAATCAAAATAACACAAACTGATGGAATAATAAAATAAGTAAATTCTAAAATGTAACTTTAGAAAAGAAAAATAAAGACGAATTAATAACCCATGGGCTATTGACCTAAAATCTGTTTAATAGATAAATATTCTACATATATATAGAAAGAAGAAAAACAATGATCAGCTTTTCAAATATATCACAACAATAGACATCTCCCCAAAACTTAGTCTTGGCTTCTTTCAAGGATATAATTTAACCCAAGAAAAATTTGGCATAACATATTTCATTTTTTCTATACTTCACTGTATGGTAACTTCTAACTATGACTACTACACGTGTATCAATAAAACAGGGGTGTTTCAAGAATTTCATCAACACTGAAATTTCTTTTCCAATATCTCTCTACCAAAATCCCAACTCTCTGCCTTTTTGTCATTATAATCTATTAAAGAAACTTAGGATCTAGTGGACTTAAAAATTATAAGATGTACCTCTGGATACAGAAACCCCAGGGAAAAAATTCTGAATAATTTAAATAATAATTCCACAATATAAGATTCATATTAGCATCAAGATCATTATATATCATGAAAACACCAGCAAATAGAAAAGTATTTAGATAATAAGAGCTAATTACATGTTCTAAAGTCAGAAATACAGTAAGAAACCTTTGAAAAAGAGCTTTTTAAAGGACCTTGAATATTTTATTTCATTAATACACATTTTTTGCAACCAATACATCCTTATATCCAACTACATCCTGCAATTGATAAATGTTTTAACCCATAGGAAAATAAAATGGCAAGAGTACCATCAATTCAAGTGAGGTGGCAAGTATTTACAAAATTACTGCTATGTGCCTAGAGAATTCCTACAAAACCTAATTTAAAAAACACATACTATTTATAAACATACAGTTATATAATAGGCCAACTCAACATTCTAAACTATGTAAATAAAATGGCAATTATAACATTTACTTGGAGAAACACTAGTGTTATGGAAAAAGCATATTATTTGTGATCAGCCAAAAATGTAGATTTGAATTCTGACATTATCACTTCCCAATCACATGAATTTGTGCTGTTCTCTTAAGCTCTCTGAGCCTTATTTATTTATTTCTTTAATTTGTAAGGATGATCATTCAGCTGGATTTAGATATAGTTTGAACACGGCAGAGCTACCAAGCTATCCTAATGAGTTAAATACAGGACATATGAGGAAGAAAAAAATAAAAGATGATTCCACGGTTTTGGGCCTGAGCAACCTTGATAATGAAGTTGTCATCAACTGATTTGGGTAATGAGTGTAGGTAGAATAGATTTGGGGAAAAGATCAGAAGTTCAGTTTTTTAAACATTAAGCATGAAATGTCTATTTGAAATTTAATTCTAGATCTCAAATAGGCAGTTTGATAAACTAGTACGGAGTTTAGGAAAGATGTCTGGGCTGTATAACTTGGGACTCATTTGCATAAAGATGATAAATAAAGCCATGAGATCCAATAAGACTAAGTCACAAAGCAGTGCCTATAGGCAGTGAAGGAAACGGGTCCAACGATGTGAGAGTAATCTGGTTGCAACATCTGTCACCACACTGATTGCCAATGTTGATTCAGCTAACCTGGCTGACTGGGCAGGTGTCCTTATCCTTCCTCATCTCTCCATGTGTCCCTCTTGAAGCTGCTTGCTAGGTCAAAGAAGACCATCAGTCAAGGTTACACAAGGAGCTGTGCCCCCATGTGAGCATCTTCAAACATTCTGTCAAAGAAATAGGTCCAATTGGTGAGACTATGGACACTCCAGTGTTAAAAAGTTAGGCAGAGAGGAAGAACCGAAGGACACTGAGAAGAGCAATTCAATGGGGAATCATTACTTCATTAACTACATCACATACTATGAAGATAACATGTGGAATTTGTTGTGAGTTACATTTATTAAACATCCATCTGGCAAGGATTTATCGAGGTAAGCTAAGTCTTAGATACTAAAAACACATTCAAAGTACAAAGTATTTAAGTACTTTAAATATTTTGCCTCATTGGAATTCAGAGGCTAACGCTATTCATTGAAACAGCACTAATTTTCTGATGATATGACAGTACTACAACAGTGACTACACATACTCAGGGCAGATCTGAAAGTCTACTGGAATAAAAGTATCTCTCTACTATAAATTAACTCTAGAGCTAACATAAAAAATAAAAGTTTTCAAAAGCTAGTTGATTAGATAAATAGCACCAGATAAAAAGGCCCTTGAACTTAAAAAAAAAAAAAAAAAACTTTCTAATTTTATTATGGAAAATATAGCAACATTAATTAGTTACTTCAAACTTTTAGTTCTATTCTTAAATTATCCATTTTCTCAAAGGACAGAAAGAAACTTTGGGTCAGTTAAAAATCAATAAAAGTGTATCATCTTGCTGTACTCAGACAACCTCTCCAAGACAGCGGGGCCTGCATGGAACCTAATGTGCTATCGCTTGTGTACACTTGCCTTGAAGTATACACATGACCTTGGCTTATTTTTAATTAAGGATTATAAATGTGGTATTAACTTGGCATACTTTATTGTTCCACCTGCCAAAACCATTCCCTAGGATCCCTGTTACCTCCCAACCAAAATTATATACTTTTCAGATTAGGAAATTAGTTTAGTCAATCTAGTCTCTAAAAAAATCCTTGTAAATATAGGGACTACTCAACTAATGTTTACCCTCATTTGGACTGAGGAGCTGCTTTTTAAGCAGCACTTCTTCCATGAGGGTAGCTTTTCCATGAGTAGTCTTTGATAAAAATATAAAAATTAAGAGTTTTGGTACACATGTGAGTGAGGCAGCTGCTCACAATTTTGGATGTCCTCTTTGATGAACCTTACCCAAGCCATCAGCAGAGCTTTACTACAGAGAGCCCTTGAGAATCTATAATCAAATCCACGTTCCTAGGAGTAGACCGGACCCAGATGCGTAAGAGATGGTGTCAAGGGTTTAGATTAAAATGTATAAATTCCTAGAAACATACAACCTACCAATATTGAATTATAAAGAATAAAAAAACTGAACCTATCCATAACAAGAAGATTGAATTAGTAATCAAAAACCTCCCAAGAAAAAAGTGTCCAGAACCAGATGGTTTCACTGGAAAATTATACTTAAACATTTAAAATAGAATTAACACAAATCTTCCTCAAAGTCTTCCCCCCCAAAAAAAAAAATCAAAGAGGAGGAAATACTTCCAAACTCATATAATAAGGCCAGAATTACCCTTATATCAAAACCAGACAAATATACTGCAAAAAAATAAAGTAACAAATATTTCTAATGAATACTGATGCAAAATCCTCAACAAAGGATTTTGTTGAATTTGAAAACCAAATTCATTAGCACATTAAAAGGACTATACATCATGAACAAGTGGTATTTATTCCTGGAATGCAAGGATGGCTTAATATATCAATCAGTATAGTATACCATATTAACAGAATGAACACAAAACCAAATGATCATCTCAAGTGATGCAAAGAAAGCATGTGACAAAATTTAACAGCCTTTTATGATAAAATGCTCAACAAACTAGGAATAGAAGGAAATTACCTCAACATATTAAAGGTGATATGTAAAGCCCACAGCTAACAGCATACTCAATAGTGAATAACTCAAAGCTTTTTCTCTAAGCTCCTGGGCAAAGTAAGAATACTCACTCTCACCACTTTTATTCAACATAGTACTAGAAGTCCTAGCCAGGGCAATTAGTCAAGAAAAAACTAAAAGGCATCCAAAAAGGAAAGGGAATAGTAAAACTATCTCTGTTTGCAGATGACATGATTTTATATGTAGAAAACCTTAAAATTACACACAGAAAAAAACTGCTATAACTAATAAACATATGCAGCAAAGTTGCAGGATACAAAATCAACACCCCTAAATTGTTTCTATACATTAACAATACATAATCCAAAAGGAAAATTAAAACAATCTCATTTACAAAAACATCAAGAAGAATAAAATAATTAGGATTAAATTAACTAAAAAGGTGAAAGAAGTACACACTAAAAACTACAAAATTACAAAACATTGCTGGAAGAAATTAGAGAAGACACAAATAAATGGAATGATAACCAGTGTTCACCGGAACACTGGATTAGAAAGCTTAATATTGTTAAAATATCCATATTATCCAAAGCAATCCATGGATTCAATGAAATTCTTATCAAAATCCCAATGGCATTTTTTGCAGAAAAAATGGAAATCCCAATGGCATTTTTTGCAAAAAAAATTTATGTACTTTTTTTATAGAAAAAAGTCCATAAATTCATATGGAATCTTAAGGAACTCAAATAGCCAAAACAATCTTGAAAAAGGAAATAAAGTTTGAAATCATATTTCCTGATTTCAAAACATATTACAAAACTACAGTAATCAAAACAGTGTGATACTGACATAAAGACAGATCTATAGACCAATGGAGTAAAATAGCCCAGAAATAAACCAGAAATAAATGATCTTCCACAAGGGTGCCAAGACTGCTCATTGGGGACAGGACAGTTTC